TGGCCGGGAGCATGCCACTGCACTCCAGTCTGGGCGATGGAGTGAGACTCCAACTCAAAACAAAACAAAACAAAACAAAACAAAACAAACAAACAAAAAACCCTTACAATTAGTTGTATTAAAAACAAAAATTAACTAACACAGCATGTCACTTCCTCATTATTTGTGTACATGTTACTGTTGTCCATGCCATTTGGGTTAGATCTATCTACAGGACCCTGTAATGGGAGCTGCTGTGCATCGCCTCCAACTTCGCCTTCAGTGACTTAAAATGGGTCGCTTGAAATCAACCATGTCGAGAGTATTTACACCTGGAAATGGGCAAATTCTACAAATGGGGGCTTGATTTAAGAAGGTGATCAAGGAAATGCAGATTAAACTTAAAATGTGTCGGCCGGGCTCGGTGGCTCAGCCTGTAATCCCAGCACTTTGGGAGGCCAAGGCGAAGGAATTGTCTGAGCCCGCGGGTTTGAGACCAGCCCAGGAAAATCAGTGAGATCTCGTCTCTATAATAAATAAAAAAATTAGCCAGGTGTGGTAGCGTGCACCTGTAGTTCCAGCTACTTGGAAGGCCAGAGCCCAGCAACGCTGGGGTGGCGGTGAGCGTACCACTGCACTCCAGCCTGGACGACAGAGTGAGACTCCAATTCAAACAAAAAAAAAAATGTGTCATGTCTGCACATTGTGAATAGTACAAAAAGTTGAGGAAATGTTCTTCCAATATTTGGAAATCATTATCCGATTAAGCCAAGTTGCTCAGGTCACTGAGTGAAGTCTGACATTCATCTTTCATGTTTCACTTTTGTCTTATTAACTTCAAGGAAGACCGCCCAACCCCCACATCAGGATTACACCCATAGAGCAGGTTGTTAAACACTTACAAGCATGCCACTGCTTCTACCCCAGAGGTCTTGGACAAGGCCAAAGGCCATCCTTGATTACATTCACCACCCTCCATAAGAGTTGGCTTTTTGGAAGCTGGCCAGGCCTAAAAACCTCAGGTGTGGAAGCCAGGCTTTTAGAATGTGAATCTAGTGAGTTTCTGCCTGCCCAGAGCCCATTCCCACCCCCAGCCTGAGCCCCCAGCTACTTGCTGGCAGCCTAGGAATACATATAGGCTGAGCAGAAGAGTTCGTTTATTGGAGGGATGAGGGGCAAGGGTGGACTCTGCATAGGGCAGAGGTCTGTGTGGATGGGAGGGCTCAGGTGGCCAGGAAACCCCCATCTACTGGCATGGTGGAGCCTGTGGTCATGCCGCTTCGGTCACTCAGCAGGAATAGGATGGCATCCACCACGTGCTCCACTTCTGTGGGTGGAGTGAGGGTCAGGAGCATAGCCAAAGGAGTCTATCCTCTATCTTTCCCTCCCACCCCTTGTCCTGGCAGGCATAGGGGCTGCTGGGACAACTCCTGTGGGCCCCACCTGACTCACCGGCAAACTTGCCAAGTGGGATGCGGTCCAGCATTGTCTTGGCTTTGTGGGGGTCACTCCAGTTGGCCTGGCCCATGGGTGTCATCACCACAGTGGGATTTACCGCGTTGACACGGATCTGCACAGGGACAGGTGGGGTCAGCAAGGCCAGTGGAACATCCTGTGCATGTGGGCTGGGTAGGAGTGGCACCCCAACCCCATTCACCTTGTGAGGCCCGAGCTCTAGTGCCATCACCTTGGTCAGCATGTCCAGGGCACCCTTGGTGGAGCCTGTGAGGAGGAGTCCAAGCTGGCTGGGAGTTGGGTATAGGGGTGGGGAGGGGCTCAGGGTACAGCCAGGGCTCACTCACAGTAGACGCTGTGGTTGGTCACTGCACGCTGGGAGGCCTGGCTGGAGACGTTCACAATGGCCCCTGGTACTCCCCGGGCTATTAAGCCCCCGGCCACTATCTGGAATTGCAGAGAGAGGGTGAGGCAGAACTGGCACCACTCACCAGAGTTCCCTTCCTGCCTGCAGGGCAACTCACCTGGGACACCTGGATGACAGCCCGAAGGTTCACATTGAAGGACCTAAAGGCCAATGGACAGACCCTAGTCAGGGACTGAGCTTGCTTCAAGGAGCCGCCCCTCCCCTGGGGTACTTCCACCACTGCTGGCTCACGTGTCACAGGCCTCCTTGGTGACTTCTAGGAAGGGCTGCAGCAGGGCCACACCGGCGTTGTTCACTAGCAGGTCCACGGGGCCCACACTGCCCAGCGCCCGCTCTGTGGCCTCCCAGTTGCCCAGGTCCACACACACAGGCTCTATCCCCGGGCACTGTGTGTATGGGGGGAGAAGGGAGCACAGTTACCAGAGGCTCCATGCCTAAGAAGCGGCACAGCTTTTGTCCCCGGAGGGAGGGCTTAGGGCTGTGTCATTTTCAGCCAGAGAAGAGGAGTTAGAAGTCCCAGAGGGGCCGGCTGCCCGTGGGCAAACCCAGGGAGCCCCTCCTCTGGTCAGTTCACTTCCTCCCTGCTCCCCAGACAGTCTAAGCAGCCATTTCTGCCTCTTTCCAAGCCCGAGGCCTGACAGCTCTTCTGGCCACCCGACGTGCGCCCTGGGAGAGGGTGCCCCACAGCCTCAGCGCCCGGCGTCCGGCCCGCGGTGAAAAGCGCAGCCTGGCAATGGGGGGCAGGGCGGGCGCGCTGGGAGAGTCCTCGGCCCCTGCGCCTCAGAGCTGGGACAGGGGGCACCTACCTCGCGGACAAGGCTGTCCAGGTCGGCCTGGGTCCGGCTCACGGCCACCACCCGTGCACCCGCCGCGTGCAGCGCCTGGACCGTGCCGCGCCCGATGCCTGCCGGGAGCGCGGCTCAGTGCGAGCGCCCCCTGCCAGCCCAC